TAGTTAGACTTAATTCACCACTTTAATTTGTTAAATAAATTTAGCAATTTTGATAGAATTGATACATTTGTAATCAGTGACTCAAAAAACATATATAACCATGTGCAGCATGCCCTATATAAAAAAAAGTTATTTTAACAATAATTATTTATTTATAAATTGTTTAAATAATTGAATTTTGCAATTTAGATAGCAGATTCGTGATCAGCGACCCCAAAAACCTCACAGTCAAGAATTTCAGGTCAATTACTCGACTTTTTAAAATTTTGTTCAGCTTTTTTCGATTTAGCTATATTGTGATTTGGAGTAATTTCAACCTCTCTTCAATTATAGGTAACTTTCGAAAATTTTCAAAAAACTAAAAGTGATGCCTCTTTTCATTTTTGATGACGATTAATTTGAGACCTGCTGAACCATTTTATGTTTTATCCCAACCTTGTTATCCAAGTTGCAAAACCAGGTTAATTTTGCGGTCACTCTTTTGTCCACAGCTGATCAAGGATCCTGGTGCCAACTTTTTCAAGTATTCCACCGAGCGTGAAATGCAAACTTGGATCTCACGTTGACAGTCGATCAGCGTAGGCACATCCATGATGAGTGCACACAAGGATGTTCGGCGGACACTCACTTTATTGCGCACGAAGAGTCACGCTCGCGAACGTGCGGTTGCCGGTGCGACGAATCCGACTCGAAAGACCAGAAATATGTTTGAGAACGCACTTCGCGAAAAGAGGTCGCGCTAAGTTAGATAATTCACTTTGTCTATAAAAAAACAATTTAATAAATATAAAGTACACTGATCGACAAAATTATACACGCACAAAATTAATACAGACTTTAATCAATTTCAGCAAGACGTAATTGTAATAAAAAAAATAAGCGGCGGTCGTCAACGTATTTCTGCGGTTGTGCACAATTGCTGCTACGCGGAGCGGAGTACAGTGCGCGGACGCGTGTGACGAGAAGTATATGACCACGGCACTAGGAACACAAAGAAAAGAAGAAAGCGAACAAAGATAACAGTGTATTTTTACACTAATTATATACAATATATACAAGAAGAAAAGCTCTGCGTACTAGAATCGCGACAAACTGCAAACGATGCAAGAAGTGCAATAAAGCGAAAAGTCGATTGTCCGAAACGTGCGAAAATTCTTGAAAAGAAGAACAAGCAAAACTGTGTCTGTGCGCGCGGAAATCGACAAGACAAGTGTTCGTGCAACGCGGAAAAAACAGTCTTAATTCGCCAACCTTCGAGAAGGTTCCGAAGCAATAATCACCGAATTTGTGATTATTGTTACACAATGATAAGGGATCCTTTCGAGTGTCGGAGGACAAAACTGTTTGTTTTTAACGATTTTATTTGGTTGTGAAACGATCAGGCAAACGGTGGCGAAATACAGCGCGCGAAAGGTGCGCTGTTTTGCGAGACAGCGGGAGCGCGCCGCTTGCGATTGGCGCGCAGGCGAATCGTCTAAATTGTCGCGCCAAATTTAAGCGCGGCAATTACCGCATTGAGATTTGCGCTCATTACTAGGCGCTGATGCATTAAAAATGCACTTTCCCGACTCTCTCTCTCTCTCTCTCTCCTTCCTCTTTGTTCCCCTCTCTCTCCCTCTCTCTCTCTCTCTCTCTCTCTCTCTGTCTCTAATCCGCGACAGCGGTTTATCAAATAAGCGAAGATGCGATATGGTTCACGGCGGAAAAGCGATAAGGCGCGAAGTCCGGGCGTGAGCTCCCTTTTATAGTTTTTCCGAAGGAGCCTACCTACCTTCTCGTGAAGCGCCAATAATTATGAGCATTTTTAATTGTATAATACAAAATTACCTAATCTGTAAACAATGTTTAAGCTCGTATATAAACAAACACAATGATAACTTATTAACTATTACAAGCCATGTGTAACGAGCAAATAAAAAATTATTATAAATCTTGGAAAAACTTTAATTAAAAAAAAACCAATTACAAACGTTTCGAACTGTACTCAGTCTTCTTCAGTGCGCAATAAACATTATAATAAATAAATAAATATAACTAAAAATTCTAATAAAAAGTCGCAATATAATGTCAAAATAAATTAAATAATTATGTCAAAATTAAAAGACGAAATACGCTAACAATAAATTTAAATTATTAAAAATAGTTCAACCCGAACAGTTCCAATTAGATGCAAAAATCGCATTAAAATAATTTATCCGACTAATCAATATTATTTTAAAAATTATTATTGAGAACTCGGAGTGGCACTTAGACATTAATCCAAACCAACCGCTCATTGTTAGTCGGCGAAAAGCTATTAGTCCGGCAATGATCGTGTCCATCATCTCCAAGTTTTTTTAAATATTATAAACTGAATTTAAAAATAGAAATTGACTTATGTATGTGTAAAAAATTAAGAATTAAAAATTAAAAATTAATTAATTGTTGCTTACAATTGTCTCCGAATAAATTAAGATGACCATGTCTCTAATTGTTGTTAAACTTAGTGTCCGTTAATTTAACGGATAGGATTTTTTGAATTGCGTCGACCGGGTTATCGGTCCTTGTTTTCAGGCTCTGTCTTTTCCCCGGCTCGCCCCCGTACTCGGTGGATCGAGGAGCTGAGGGCGAGCGGCGGGCCGGGGGAGCGGAGCGGCGCGGCTTCGCTTAGTTTTTTGCGCTGGTCCTCTCTATATCGTTTGAGGACCGTCTCGAGTTATATTAGCGACTTGCGAGTGAGTTCGAACGTACGAAAACGGTGTCCAACAAAATTCGTATCTCCGCGATCCTTGTAGCGCTCTCGCGCAAAACGAAACGTTTTGTTGAGTAATCAATCAAATAAAGTGCAGTGATTGACAAAAAACGCGGTTATCTCTTGAGATACCCTTCCCTCAACGCGGAAGAGCTCCAAGTCCGGAAAGCGCCTCCAGACCGAGCCGATAAACAAACATTTGGTCCTTCGAGCCGGATCACTTTGGAATCCGGCGCTTCTCTTGACAAATTGCATAAACAATCTAGTTCGCGCTTCGTGGACGCGGGTCACTCTCGCAGTGCCTTAATTATCGCGTGTCGGCGTGCCGGTGAGTGCGGTGTTCCGGTTACACGCGGCAAAACCGTGATTTGCACGACCGGAGCGCGCTGCGTCCGTGTTAACCGAGGCGCAAGGAGCGTTTGCTTGAGCGCAATAACCGCGTCGCCTCGCCGCCTGGTCGCGCAGCGTGTAACGTTGGTCAGCTCCACGCACGGGATAGCTGATCGCAGGCTGATCTTGTCGTGCTCGTGACATGATGGAGCGGACAATTAAGCAGCAGGCTATGCTGGCGGGATATATTTCCCGTATGTGGATAAATCTACACAAAATGGGTCAGGCAAAGATCTCGGCGGCGGAAGTCTTCACCCGGCTGGCGTGCCTCGACGATTACTGAAAGCGCTATCAGAACGTGCACTTTGCGATCGCGGCGGATCTTGAGGCCGACAAAACGGCCTACATGAAGGACGACTGCTTCACCGCGACCGAGAAGTCGTATTTTAGTATGCGCAGCCAATTTTCGGTCTTATTAGATCAGCTAAATTCAGGTCGGGCCTCGGGGACAGAGGAAAGAGCGAGACCGAGCTCTACGGCAGTAACGCCCGTTCTCAAGCAAATGCAGCTTCCCAAGCTGGAGCTGCCAAAGTTCTCCGGCGACCAACTCGAGTGGGAAGGCTTCCGAAACTTATTTCGCTCGCTCGTGCATAACGTAACGGGGGTCCTTAAAGTGCAAAAGCTCCAATACTTAATGGGGTGCCTGATCGGTGAAGCCGCGGAAGTCGTGGCCGGTGTTCTCTTAACGGACGGAGCCTATGACGGGGCATGGGCGGACTTGATGATGCGCTACGATAACCCTCGCGTTCTTCTTTGCGCTCACATGCGACATCTAATTTCGTGCCCGGCCGCTGTCAAGTCCTCGGCTACCGAAATTAAACGCCTGCTGGGCGTGCTCAACCAAACCCGGCGAGCGTTAGACTCTCTGGGGCGACCGGTCGAACATTGGGACGACTGGTTCGTCCATCTTTTCGTAGACAAGTTAGATGCCACAACGCGGATGCACTGGGAGACGTCGCTGCTGGACTCCCGCGATTTTCCAATTTTTCAGCAATTACAGGCCTACCTGGAGAACCGAGTGCGCGCTTTGGAGGCTGCGAGGGTGGATGTCCCCCTCTCGCGGGGAGGACCAGGGGCGAGTGCGAAGTCCTCGACTAAACCCACGCGCGTGGCATGCAACACGGTCGTGACCGCAAAACCTAAGGCAAAAAACTGTGCTCTTTGCCAGGACTCGCACGCGCTTACGTTCTGCCCTAAATATAAGGCGTTGCCTGTCGCTCAGCGCGCGGAACAGGTGAGAAAAATGGGAGCGTGCCGGAACTGCGTCAAACCCGGCCATCAGGCGGACTCCTGTCCGGGCAGCGGTCGCTGCTTGGTGTGTGGCGCAAGCCACCATACAACCTTGCACGGACTCTCTTCTAGGCAAGAAGAAGGCGATTCCAAGGGAAGGAACCAGATGGAGGATCCGGCCGCGGCGGACGCTACGATCCTGAACGCGAGTGTGACCCCTCCCGCGGCCCTGGGAAGGAAAACCGTACTACTGGCGACGGCACGGGTTCTGCTGGAGGGACCATCCGGACGGCGGCTAACGGTACAAGCCCTGCTCGATTCGGGAGCAGCGGTCTCTTTTGTCACCAAAAGAGTAGCGCAATTCTTGCGCGTTGACCGCCGCCGCGTCAATGTTCCGGTGTCCGGCCTGCAGGGTAAGCATATGACCGACGCTACTACCACCACAAGGCTCGTAATTAGGTCTCCAACGGACGCAACGTTTCGGCTCGAAACGGAAGCGTTCGTGCTCCGACGACTGGCGAACTTGATGCCCCCTGAGCGCCTCGTTACGCAGCCATGACGGCACTTAGAGGGTCTTTCGCTGGCGAATCCTGACTACGCGACGCCGGCTACGGTAGACGTCATACTGGACGCCAACATCTACGGCAAGATGAAGCGGCCAGCCGTCCGCTGCGGCGAACCGAGATCCCCTGAAGCGCATCTTACCGCTTTCGGCTGGGTCCTAACGGGCGAGATGGCCATCGAGGAGACAGTTCCGGTCGCAACGTGTGCGGTGACTGTGCTACTCACTCAGCCTGCTTACGAGCTGTCGGCGACCCTTAGGCGTCTGTGGAAGCTCGAGGAGGTTGCCGCTGAGCGCGTTCCGACTCCGGACAAGGACCGGTCGGAGGAGCATTTCCAGAAAACGCACTTCCGGGACGCGACCGGAAGATACGTCGTGCGACTGCCTTGCAACTTGGATCGGCTCGGTCAGCTGGGTGAGTCGCGCTCGGCAGCGCTGTCCATGCTGCTTGGCTCGGAGCGGCGTCTGGCGAGGAAGCCCGAGCTGAAAAAACGCTACACCGACTTTATGGTGAAGTACCTCGCGCTGGAGCACATGAATCCTGTGCCGGCTGGTGCTCCCCGTCCGTCGGTGTCCTACTATCTGTCACACCACGCGGTCTTCAAGGCTCACGATCCCTCGGGAAAAATACGCGTGGTCTTTAACGCGTCCTTCCAAACTTCCTCCGGCCATTCACTAAATGACTGTCTGTTGCCAGGTCTACGGTTGCAGTCTGACTTGTGGGTCATACTGACCCGATGGCGAAAATTCCAGGTCGGATTCATGGCCGACATTGTTAAAATGTTCCGGCAGATCCGGGTGAATCCAGAGGACGTGGATTTGCAGAGAATTCTCTGGTGTGCTAGCCCTGCGGAGAGCGTTCGGGAGTTCCGCCTCCAGACAGTTACTTACGGGACGACCTCTGCCTCCTTTTTGGCTATACGCACGCTGACGCAGTTGGCTCGGGACGAGGCTATGCGTTTTCCGCTGGGAGCGACGGCCCTGTTGCAACATTCCTATGTTGACGACATCCTGGCGGGTGGAGATGAGCCGACTGCGGCTCGGGAGGTTCAGCTGCAATTAGTGGCACTGCTTCAGGCTGGAGGTTTTGCGCTGGGCAAGTGGGCGGCGAATGCGCGGAAGCTCCTCCCGCAGACGTCACCGGAGTCGACGCCGCTCCCGGCCTTCGACGATGTGAGCGCTCTGGGGTAATATGGCGCCCGGACGAGGATGCGTTGTCGATCAGGGTGGCGGCGTTCCCGCAGCACGAGGCAATCACGAAGTGAGCGGTCCTGTCTGAGGCGGCTCGACTCTTCGACCCGCTGGGCTGGGTCGCTCCGGTCCTGATCTATGCCAGGATCTTCCTGCAGGATCTGTGGCTTGCGGGACACGGCTGGGACGACCCCCTTCCACCAGAGCTGGCGGAGGCCTGGGGCCTCTTCCGCGCGTCACTGCCCGGGCTGGCGGCCTTGCGAATATCTCGCTGGATGCAGGTCAGCCCTGAGGACAAGATAGAGCTGCACGGGTTTTCGGACGCGTCGGAGAGGGCTTACGCGGCGGCCGTTTACGTCCGGGTCACGAAGCAGGATGGACGAGTGGAGGTGACCTTGCTGACGGCCCGAACCAAGGTGGCGCCAATCAAAACGTAGAGCGTGCCTCGATTGGAGCTCTGTGGGGTTCTGTTGGCTCGGTTACTACGCCGGGTGGCTCGAGACCTCGACATGGAGGGCGTGCCCGTCGTCGCTTGAACGGATGCTCGGGTCGTCCTCTGCTGGCTGCGGTCGCATGCGTCGCGCTGGCGACCGTTTGTGGCACACCGGGTGGCTGAGCAGGACCTGATTCCGAGTGACCAATGGAGATACGTCCCCACTGCTGCAAACCCGGCCGACTTAGCGACTAGGGAGATTCCGATCTCGGAGCTCCTCGGTTTGAATCTATGGTGGAGGGGTCCCGGATGGCTTCATGATGCGCCCTCCACGTGGCCGGTGACGGGCGACCTTGGTTCCCACCACGAGAAGGAGGAGAGACGGGTAATACATCTGGCGGTTCCGGAGGAACGAGAGGAACTCCTCGAGGATCGGTTCTCAACCTTGACTCGGCTAGTCCGCGTCGTCGCCTACTATTACCGGTTCTTCCGGCGCGCTCGCGGTGTCAGGGACCGAAGCGGGTTCATGACCAGCGCGGAGTTGGAAGCCAGCCTGCTCGTGATGGTGAGAGTGGCGCAGCGACGGGAGTTTCTAGGGGAACTGGGAGCGCTTACGGCGGGCGGCCCGCTGCCGAGTGGCTCGCCTCTGCGAGCGTTGAGCCCGTTCTTGGACGAGAATGGATCCTTGCGAGTAGGAGGACGGCTTCAGTCGGCTCAGCTGCCCTTCTCGGAGAAGCACCCGTTGATCCTTCCAAAGGAGGGTCACCTCACCGAACTGGTCCTTCGCGACGCGCATGCGGCAACCTTGCATGGGGGACCACAGCTCATGCGGAGCTATCTCCTTCACCGCTTCTGGATCGTGGGGGTGGCTGCTTGAGCCCGAAGGATCGCTCGAGAGTGCGTTTTCGGGCGGAAACGGTGCAACAGAAGATGGGTAAGCTGCTGGCCGAGCGGGTTTGCCCCCCAAGACCCTTCGCATCAGCAGGGGTGGACTACACAGGTCCCCTGCGTATCCGCGCGCAAAGAGGAAGAGGTCATGCCGCTTACAAGGACTACATCTGTCTTTTTATCTGCTTAACGACCCGAGCGGTCCACCTGGAGGCCGTATCGGACTTATCGGCACCGGCCTTCATTGCGGCATTTCGCCGATTCACTTCCCGTCGGGGTCGTTGTCGCCTGCTGCTCAGCGACAACGCGACTAACTTTCGCGGAGCTGACGCTGACTTGAGGGCCAGATTCCATGCCGCCTCCGACTTTTATAAGGAAGCCGGAGAACTGTTGGCTAACGACCGGACCGAATGGAGATTCATCCCCCCGCAGGCTCCTCACTTCGGGGGCATCTGGGAGGCGGGAGTCCGTTCGGTTAAGCACTACTTGCGGCGCATCCTTGGTGACCATGCGTTGACCTACGAGGAGCTGTCAACGTTGCTGTGTCAAATTGAGGCCTGCCTCAATTCCAGACCGGTGTGCCCATTGAGCTCAGACGCTTCGGACCTGGTGGCGCTAACGCCAGGGCACTTCCTGGTGGGCGAGGCGCTCTGCACCCTGCCGGAGGCCCCGGAGATCGATCGTCATTCTGCATCGCGTTGGCGACTGATTTTGGTCATAAAGGAGTCATTCTGGAGGCGGTGGCACTCGGAGTACCTGCATCAGCTTCAGCAGCGCTCCAAATGAACTACGGAGCAGGCCAACATTGCCACCGGCATGATGGTGCTGGTAAAAGACGAGCTGCTGCCGCCGGCCAAATGGCTACTAGGCCGGGTTACCCGGGTCTTCCCCGGACCAGACGGCTGTGTCCGCGTTGCAGAGATTCGTACGGCAACGACGGTGCTGAGACGGCCCATCGCTAGGATATGCCCCTTACCCGTGGCCGCAGAACCGATGGCGTCGGAATCCTAGAAGAGCTGCGGGGCACGGGTGATTGAGTGGTCATGGCGTCGCTGAGACAGAATCGCGTACTGGTCCTCGCGGGCACGCCCTGACACCTCTCCGTAGTTTTATTTACTTTTGGTTTTTCTTAATTCACTACTAATTCGTTCTTTTATTTCAATTTGTTCTTAATTTGTTCTAGTCGTAAATCAATTTGTTACTCGAATTTCGTCGACTGGACGAGGCGGGCGGCATGTCCGTTAATTTAACGGATAGGATTTTTTGAATTGCGTCGACCGAGTTATCGGTCCTCGTTTTCAGGCTCTGTCTTTTCCCCGGCCCGCCCTTGTACTCGGTGGATCGAGGAGCTGAGGGCGAGCGGCGGGGCGGGGGAGCGGAGCGGCGCGGCTTCGCTTAGTTTTTCGCGCTGGTCTTCTCTATATCGTTTGAGGACCGTCTCGAGTAATACTAGCGACTTGCGAGTGAGTTCAAACGTACGAAAACGGTGTCCAACAAAATTCGTATCTCCGCGATCCTTGTAGCGCTCTCGCGCAAGCCGAAACGTTTTGTAGAGTAATCAATCAAATAAAGTGCAGTGATTGACAAAAAACGCGGTTATCTCTTGAGATACCCTTCCCTCAACGTGGAAGAGCTCCAAATCCGGAGAGCGCCTCCAGACCGAGCCGATAAACGAACACTTAGTACTTGACTGATGTCGAGTCATTGGAAAAGTTGAATATATAGGTGTCAATTCGCAAAAACATAAACATTTTAATAAGTCTAAAAATTTCCTATTTCTTCTAGAATGTCAAAATAAGCGTTGTTGAGCAATTCAGTGTCTGTATTATTATTTATACCATGCTTTTATTTCTATGGTTAAATTTATATTGTCGTCAACATATTTTACATTTAATGACATTATTTACAAACAAGTTTATGGCATGCCTATGGGTTCCCCGTTATCGCCAATAATTGCTAATATTGTTATGCAAGATCTGGAGGAATTGATTATTAACACATTGGATTATTTACACATTGGATTTTAATATCGGAATGTATTATAGATATGTAGATGACATTATTATGGTGGCACCAAAGGATAAGATAGACTGTATATTGAATAAGTTTAATAGTTACCATCAACGACTACAATTTACGGTTGAATACAAAATTAATAGAAGCATAAATTTTTTAGATTTAAACATTAAGATCATCGACAACGTCATACACTTGGACTGGTTTCAAAAAAAGACTTGTTCAGGCAGAGTACTGTTTTTCTTATCGAATCACCCCATGTGCCACAAAATATGAGTGATTTATAATTTGATCGATAGAGCATTGTTATTATCTCATCCCATATATCACAAGAAAAATCTAGAGCTGTGTATTGAAACATTGTTGGACAACGGTTACCCTATTCATTTAATTTTTAAAGAAATAAATAAAAGAATAAAAGTAGTAAACAATTTGCAGTTTAACAACAATAGAATAAAAGAAATTATAGAGGAAAATAATAAAAAATTTTTTGTGATCCCCTATATTAATAACATCTCGGAAACAATGGCATCGACAATTAAAAAATCAGATTTTAGAGTAAGGTACCGTTGTCTTAATAATCTTGACAAATTCATCAGAGTCCATAAGGACAAAAATGCGCATAATAGCAATAATAATGTCGTCTACAAAATTAATTGTAAAGACTGTAAAGCTTCATACGTTGGGCAAACCAAAAGAAAAGTACTAGACTAAAGCAGCATATAAATAACATTAAATTTGATTCTTCTAAGCATTCTGTGGTCTCGGAACATATTGTAGATAAAAAACATGTTTTGATTGGGATAACGTCAAAATACTTGATATTGAATCTAACTATTATAAAAGACTTATCTCGGAGATGATACACATAAAGGAACAAAAGCACGGTATAAATAATAATACAGACACTGAATTGCTCAACAACGCTTATTTTGACATTCTAGAAGAAATAGGAAATTTTTAGACTTATTAAAATGTTTATGTTTTTGCGAATTGACACCTATATATTCAACTTTTCCAATGACTCAACATCAGTCAAGTACTAAGTTCAACAACAATTAGAGGCATGGTCATCTTAATTTATTCGGAGACAATTGTAAGCAACAATTAATTAATTTTTAATTTTTAATTCTTAATTTTTTACACATACATAAATCAATTTCTATTTTTAAATTCAGTTTATAATATTTAAAAAAACTTGAAGATGATAGACACGATCATTGCCGGATAGCCTTTCGCCGACTAACGATGAGCGGTTGGTTTGGATTAATGTCTAAGTGCCACTCCGAGTTCTCAATAATAATTTTTAAAATAATATTGATTAGCCGGATAAATTATTTTAATGCGATTTTTGCATCTAATTGGGACTGTTCGGGTTGAACTATTTTTAATAATTTAAATTTATTGTTAGCGTATTTCGCCTTTTAATTTTGACATAATTATTTAATTTATTTTGACATTATATTGCGATTTTTTATTAGAATTTTTAGTTATATTTATTTATTTATTATAATGTTTATTGCGCACTGAAGAAGACTGAGTACAGTTCGAAACGTTTGTAATTGGTTTTTTTAAATTAAAGTTTTTCCAAAATTTATAATAATTTTTTATTTGCTCGTTACACATGGCCTCGTAATAGTTAATAAGTTATCATTTTTAATTGTGCTCGAGGTAACCTGAGAGCATGGTTCATAATTGGTTGCTTCGACGAGATTCGCAAAAAGACGCGGATTTGACATGCGCGAGCGTGTGAGCGCATTAATTATTGGTGATTCAAACTGCATGTTATAAGCTGCGCATGCTTGTCGCGATATAGGTATCCGGCGAAACGGTTGCGATACCGTTAATTGTTTATTTTTCACGATAGTTTTTGGCAACAGGTTTATGACCTGTTGATTTACGACGGTTTTTTTTCCTTTGATAAACATATAAACAACTTTGACTTTTTATTATTGATTCGACAATCGATTTTTCTACAAACCATAAATTTTACATTTGCATATTGAACATATATACTGTGCGCGACGAAAAGCAGGATAGAAAGGTCGGAAGCGAGAAGACAGAGAAGCACTGCACTCGACACTCGCGTAACGTGAACAAAAATATATTTACACTACGAACAACAAAGATTACAATTGTTTAAACCGCACAGAAATTGCCAGAGAATTAACTGATAAGAATAAACTAAAAGAAATAGCCGAGTCGATAATGAATAACTAAATGTTCCGCAAGCAACGGTAATTAGACACGAAAAAAGACAAGCGATCTTTTTCGTGAAGTAGAAGCACACTCTTGACGCAACAAGCAATCGGAAAAGAGCCCCGCGGTCACGAGAGAGGAGGTTTTTATAAGCTCGAATTTCTGGAATATTCGAGAACAATTTTCTTTATTTTATCGTTCGGCTGAGGGCGAAAGAGCGTTTAGTGTAATTATTTACTTTCCAGCACATCGTAGTTTTGTTATTATACGAACTAAATTGTATCTTCTCTCGCGCGACCGAGGTGTTTACAATTATATGTGATTTGATGTAAGCGCTTCTTTTCGCAGGCGCGGGGTATACGTATACCTTGCGGCCGAGCGCTATTTGAAAATAATATAATTGATATAGTATTTATAGTATAAAATTAAGCATGATGCATGTTGCATGTTAAATGAGCAAACTGCATGAATTTGAATGCAATAATGTTTTAATACTTTTCAGCTTTCTTTAGACGTTCGATTTTCGAACATATACTTATATAATAATATTTACTTTATAATTATTAATTACTTTCTAAAATGAAGAAGTTTTTACTATTATATATAAATATAGTTTTACGTATCTGTGGTTAATCTGCTAGCACTACTTCATTCTTATATTTTTTAATACGGTCATAAACAGTTGTATATGGTACAAGCACAGATGGATCTCTTAGATATTGAAAATAAGGGCCACGTTTATTCATACTTTTATTAATGCTATCTCTAATAGCACACCATATCCGAAAAACATTCTGAGAATATCCAGAGAACATTCGAACATACTCGGGATATTCTCCGAACGTCTTCGAGATGTGTGCTGTTAGAGATATTATTCAAGGAAATAAAGAAAAATTAACCTCGCATAACCAACAAAGGTCAGTATGATGTGCACACTGGCGCCTGGCGCCTATTCATTCGGAATCATTTGTAAACACTCGTGTGCGTTCGGAAACGTAGAAAGAACACAAAGTATTCTCTCCATAAAATCACTTATATTGTTGTCGCAAAAGACAAAAAGCAGCCATTACGACCAAGTTATTGAAAATCAATACACGAAATTTTCACTATCTGTTATATATATATATATATATATAACCTGTACACGTGCAAAATATGTGAAGTTTTATTATTAACATCTGTTTAAACGATATACAAAAGGAATAATAGAAAAGAGTATTTTTATTGATAGACAATAAATCATGCATATTATATAGTAGAATTTTTAAACGAAGATGAGGCGTTAGCCATAGGTTATACGTGTTGGCTAAATGAAACTGTGACCAAAGAAGAGCTGAATAATATTATTGAAAAGAAAAAGAGATAGAAATATAGTGTGGCCAAAATGTGATGTGCAATCAGCTCGGAAAATGAAAACCATCTGTAAAGGTTTGACAGACAAGGATTGGGAGAGGTTCATGCTGTAAAAATTCTTGGATTTGGTGGTAAGTGATTATTTTAAAAATAAATTTTAATAATGTTAGCTATATCTTTTAATATTTCTCCTATAATCTTTTAATGCGTCTCTATCT